GTGCAATTTCTGAGTATCAACAGAGGGAAATACAAGTGGTCTGAAAACATTCAACTATCTGCAGGTGGAGGAAGAGCCTGGGGCCCATTTGCAGGGTAGATGGATGATTATTCTTAAAGGGATCATCTGGAACAGATGTTGAATATGGTGTGCAGTATTGCATTGATGAAACAAGAAAACTCTTTTCAGTTTGAAACAATTCTTTGTTTTATTAGAGGCAAGCGGGACCTGATATAGGTGACGCTGAAAGAAATGGCGATTGGGCTGATGATTTTTAACGTGTCCTTTGCTTTAACATAGAGGTATTTAGCTGCTCTATAGCAGTATTCTTAGTAGACTGGGGACTATCTGTATGCTTGTTTGTTTGGGTGTTTGTCTAAACATGAAATTCAGGATAAGCAACTTACAGATACTGACACAGGGCTGATGTTACTGGGAGGCAGGGAGTGGGAGAGGGTAGAGGGGAGCCAATAATGAGGGCTACAAGAGAATAGTAAGTGTTCTAAATTTGATGGTGAAGAGTGCAGTTTATCTCGATGTCTTCAAACAATTAAATTTTATCTGAGAGGAATTATTGAAATGTGAACAATGGGTAAACAAAACGGTTGGATAGAAAAAAAATATATATGGAACTAGATGGACTGTGAGTGTCATCCTAAATCTTGCCTCAGTACAAGAATGGTTTGTTTTGACACTGTGGCATTGTATGATACTCACTTGCCTGACATGATCTCTGAAGACAAAATGTGGTGAAGAAAGCAAATATAGAATCTGAGGTCTTAAAGGCTTGTAATCCAATCCGTCAGCCATCTAGCAGGGAAGCAACAAGTCCTCATGGAAGAAGTACAGCAGCCTGTGTGATCATGAGGTGCTGACAGGAAGAAATATCAGATCCGCAGAAACATGCAACTCAGGGGCATGGATGCAATAGACACACAAATTCATCTTCAAGGTAATTAGACAGTCCCTCTCAGGAGGGCCACATGGAATAGATGATAACTCCAGGTGCGGTATGGCACAGATGAACCACAAAAATATCCTCTAGTTTTCAATCTTCCCTCCCCTTAAGATTAAAATAATTGATTTGTTTTACTTTGTTAATCATGTTAGTTTTGTGCATGCTCAATTGTATATGTAAGATTGTTCAGTACATGAAAATTAAGGTAGATGACCCTTCAGAAACAGTAATAGGAGTAATGGTTCCATGAAGGTGCAAGAAGAGAGGACGGAAGCATGGGGAG